TGCCGACGACGCCACTGTGGAGAGAACTGGTACTCTGGGGTACGGGTTCTGCCTCTTCCTTGCTAACAGGCTCAGCCTTGTCAGAAGTGCAGCGCTTGTGTTCAAGCGTCTTTGTGTTCGGCACGGATGTTGTTTTGGGGTGTCTTATTATTGACTCTCGGCAATCTTGCAAACAGCTCTGTACGGCGAGACTGAGGGCAAAGCTTTATGAGTGATTCATGTGCGAGGCCTAACGGGGCCAAGCTTCCGGACGGGTCCAACTGCAACCAAGCGTTACAAACAGTCACACGTCAGTCCGTGGTCCGTGATTCTTCTACACAACCATCTGATTGGTTGTACTTAAACCAATGAAAATGCACAAATACATGTTACTGGCTAACTCTCTTGACACTGTGTCTACTCTTGTCTCAGCCCTAGGTCCGCTACATCATCCTACTGCAGCAGCAACTAAGCTACTTGGTCGGTCGGTCCAGTCGTCTAGACACTCAGAAATGTGTCAACCGTTTCAGATAATAACCAATAACGCCTCGCGAACTAGACTGAAACCCATTCTCACCACAACAGCAACCGGGGTTTGTTCGTCGGAAAAACGCGTAAAACAACGGGGGGGATGATTACAACAGTCCCGATCATCACCTCGCTCTACACTGCACCAACCAACGGACAGGCTCCGTGCTTCGTCTGTGGAAATCATATGGAAACAAGGGCGCTGTGATCCTGCACATACAAGCAAACCTGCCAGTGCCGCCTATTGCATAGATTTTCCCTCCTCTTGGGTGCTTGGTACTTTTGGCTTTGTGTCGACCACGCGCGTGCCCGCAGTGTGACATACCCAACACACAGAGCCCTGTTTTTTTTCGGAGATCGTGCGGTGGAATGTCGCGTGGTAGATTGTGGTGATGGTGATTCGGAGAGAGATGGGCGAGAAGAGAAGTAGCAACGAGAGGGCTTTGTAAAGCGTGTAGCTGGAAGGCAGGCAGAAGGGGACATGAGCCGGATCCATTCGTTGGGGTGAGAAATACGACCGAAGACGATCTCATTGTTAAGGTTGTGTGTCGCGAGCACTGGTGCTTGTACCTGCCGAGAAATGGTTTGTAGGCACAGGCCTCGGAAACGGTTTCCTCTTCCAGCTAACTATGCCGTCCCCGTGTGTAGCCCAATCTCTCTCTCTCCAACTCTCTCTCGTCTTTCTCTTTCCCACACAAAGTCAAGGCTCTTTGTATACAACCACGCAGCCATTTCCTTTGGGTACGAGATACGTAGTCAGTATGATATCGCGGTGTGTCGGCGTTTTGCTCATGAAACGCGACTGGTCCCTCTTCTGTACCACGAACAACGTACCGATCTGCTGGTGTATGATTTTCGTGTGGGGATTAGCCATGTTTGGCGCTTTCGGTCTCTGTCTCGCCATGACCAGCGTCGGACTGATGCACGTGGACATACTGGTAGGTACCCGGCTGTGTGTGTCGCACGAAAAGCACCGCGGTTGGGCAGCTATCTTTACTGCTGTGGGAGATCAAAAATCCAACCGCCGTCGGCGAACCATGCCAGGCCAAAGCCTGTGAAACGCCAATGGGTCTCTAACAGCGGAAATTGGCGATAGGATAAACAGCAGGCCAACAAGTCTGCACAGAGCTGATGCTGCAACAGTGATCCCCTGCCATACCCGTACCCAGCAACGACCAGCGGCAATACTTTAGATATGACACCCCCTGTACTAGGAATGGCGGCGCTGAAATGGCGGCGTTGGAACCACCTCGCCAAGAGCTTCGCGAGAAAGTTGTACTCATCTTAGTCTTCGTCGTGGAGTAATCAAGCTTTGAAAATGGTAGGGGTTGTGATATCCTACGTCACCTCGGCATTTCCCTCTGGAGTAATGCATTCAAGTCAATGGAGCAAACATGCACTCATGTAAAGCTTGCAAGCACTCCAGAAAGCATACATCTACCACTCTTGCGGACGCGTCTGCTTTGTACTGCATATACCAGCGCCATCGACGTCACTGAACAGACTCAGGAATAACCTGACGCACCTGTGTGCGACAAGCAACGCACGCGTCGTTTCTGGGGTGTAGGTCGGTACTACCAACAGTCAAACATTCCGTATCTCTCTGCTAGCGGGATCCCTGCTTTCACCTGAATCGATTTGTCCGCGTCGAAAACTACAAGTCTGCTGACTTGTCCGGCCTGGGCTCAATCTACCATCAGACAGACCCTTCGCATCTCGTTCTTGTGCTATTCCTCGCGCCGCAGCCACTCCGTGCACAGCGTATAGCCCCGGCCCTCGTCAGCGAAGAGGTCTGGCTTGACATGACTTGCTGTGGGCAACGTAATTTTGCTTTCACGAGGGCCCTAGCTTCATGCATAGACGAGCCCTTCACTCTATGCCACAGTCAGGGTGGACGACGGTCACCCTTGGCAACACGGGGCGGAGCTGATCCTCATCGTGCCTTCGGGCTGATGAGCGTGTCTCACCGNGATCGGGATGGTGCGGTTGGGGTGGGATTGGCAACTCTTGTATCGGTGCGCATAGGGTGGGCAAGCTGGCGAGCCGCGGCGAAGGCCAGGGGCAGGCGGGGGGGGCAGGAGCCATAGCCGACTCCTTGTCCATTCGGGGAACGGGGCACGCGACCGGAAGGTACATCCTCGGTGTGTACTAATAGTTTGTTGCGGTGGCAAGAGTTCTGTGGGGCTTCGTGGTGACCTGCGCACGCCCCTCTGGCAGGGCAACACGGCGCGTGCACTACTGCTGATCCGGTAGAAGGCTAAGGGAAGAGGGAACCGTACTTTGCAAAAGCCATAGATGGCGGGGGAGGTATGCTTGGTAAGCAGGGTTGGGCGGTGTACGTCCGGCCGTGTGCCTCCTCTTTCGAGTTTTGTCACGCACGTGTACAAGGCGATGGGGCAATGGACAAAGAATCGCACGATTTTTTCGGCCTACGAGAGACCTCGTTCGGTGCTGAAGCACAATCGCATCTGTTATGAAATGGCAGCAGCAGGAGTAGCAGCAGCAGCGACGGCGGCGGGTTTGGTGTAAGTGGAGCAACCTGCTTGATGAGGGGAAACGCCTTAATGGCAGGCTGCAGGAATTTGGTAGGGGGCGGGGTCACAGGTCGTACAAAGGCCTTGGGAAAGTCCCTTGTTCAGCGCTTCCTATTCCAGTTCTGGGCGTAGGCGTTAGTGGCAGCACCACTCAAGCGCGCACGACTTTCCCCGCACACCGTACTGATTTGGAATCGTCTTCCATGTGTGCTGCGGCTTCCGCACCAACGGTGCCTGCTACGCTTGAGACGGAGTCGCTCTTGTTTCGTCGGCCCGTTCGCTCACACCCCTTTGGTGTGTTGCCTGAAACAATAACCCCGACGCCGTCCCGCCGGCTCCGTAATCGGTGAACGCTATGCTGCTACCTAGTGGTCCGCCTCCGCTACTACTACTCCTGTACTGAAGTGGTATTTTTCCGTTCCCTGCTTGCCTGCTCTCGCTGATTGTTTTACCATCCAGCTTCCGGAGCCCGATTCATGGCTCCAGCCCCAGCTACACGACGGCTGTCGGTAGCAGAAGCGCCAAGAGCAGCAGCTACAGCCGGCCCGTGCATCACAGGGGATCCGGCGGCGTCGGCAGCGGTGGCGGCAGCAGCAGTAGCGGCGATCGACAGCGAAACAACAGCGCCAGTAGCGCTGACGAACTCGGTGTCCCCGGCAACAACCGGATAAGGACCGCGAGTTCGTCAACCGACGCTCAGGCTAGGGAAGCGGGGTTTGGCCGCAACGGCAGCGGCAGCGATAACAGCAGAGGCAAGAGAGATGGCGGTGACGGAGTCCGGGCTCACAACGCCAAGAGCGGAGGAGGTGGCGGGAGCGGCGGGGGGATGGGGCGAGGAAAGCTGCGGCCGTGGACCGCATGCCAGCGCCAGCGCCAGCAGCCGCCCGCCTCGCCGAGGCTCACCGGACCACGATCGGGATCGGGATCGGGATCGGGATCTGGATCGGGGTGCGGTGGAAGCGAGCGTGGGAGCGACAAGGTTGATGGTGGTGGCTGCGGCGGGGGCGGTAAAAGGGGTAGGACAACGGCAGCGAGCGAAGGCGGCGGCGATATCGTGAAGATACATGTCTGTGATGAGGGGCGTGGCATAACGAGAGGTTGGTTTCGTATGGTACTGCTGTGTGCTGACGGTGGGGCGGTTGGGAATGGTTGTTCCACTGGGGTTTCGACGAACCAGCGAAGAAGGTAGGAGTGACATGACCCTCGGCCATCCGTGCGCAACCTGGCCATGCCACGCCCATTGATCAACAACGATGGACCTTCTGCCGTTGTTTCATGACGAACGGGCTGCGTATGTTGTCGACGTTGTCGTTGTTCTGCGTTTGAACGGGAAGGATCTTCATCGCACAAATCCGTCTGCACCGCTACCGAACCAGTTCAGGCGTAGGACGTCTTCGACAGTATCATGGAGCGCCCTATGCATGACGTGTGCACTAGAAATTTTCCACGACTCGGCCGAGGTCAAGTCAGACCTGTGAGGGGTGTGGATGCTGGTTTGTATGGTGCTGTGACATGCTTCGCTTGGCTGCGAGGGCCTCGTTGGGCGCTTGCACACGTCTTCTGCTGTGGGGACCCCGACTAACCCCCCGTCGATATCGGTGCTGTTTTGGCGCGCCTTTTGGGCACCTTGGCCGTGCCTACTTGTCGTGCTCTTGGTCGCCTGCCCCGCCGCTCGCGACGCGCTCAGTGCTGCTCGTCTCCTGGTCCTGCCTTGACTCCATTCCGGTTCGATCTGTTTGTCTATTTCTTGTGGGCGTGATTTCTGCTGGTCTGCGGCTGGCATCTGCTACTTTGCTGCGAAACAACCCGCAGATTTTCCGTGCGAGAGGCGGCTTCTGCTACGCGAGATGAAGTTCTTCCAATCCTACCTCGTCGGAGTGAGTAGTCGTATCCTACACAACATGATCTGATTGAAACACTTGCCGTTTATTCACAAGAAGGAAGTATCGACTCGGTAGCGGAACGGGACGATTCCGCTCGGTGCGTTTGCAGTCGGTCGGTGGTCAAAGGTGTAACCGGTAAGCTTGAATCGTGCTACGGGCATGCACCTTACGCCCCGTAACCGTCCGTGACCCCGTGCGGAGTTGGCCTCGTGTGTGGAAAACCAGCTGTGCGTTTTCTATCCCTACAAGTTGTGGTAACGGGCCGCGAGAGATGTAGGCAAATCTGGGAATGATTGTTTCCGCCGCCTATGCTGTTGGTTGTTGTGTTTGTTCGCACGGAAGTTTTTGTGCTGCACAAGGTGTGCCGTTGGATGGAGCTCACTCGCCGCACACCTGACGATGCCTGTCGCCCATGATGCTACGCTACGTACTCTAGGCCACGCGAGCGTCTTCGGCGAAACAGACCCATGCTCCGTGTGCCGGCATTGTATGGACCGGAGGGTGTAGACTAAACGGATGCAAACCCCAGCCATGCATTACCATGACCCGCCCTCCCCAAATGTTGCCCGCACTTGTCCTTCGGCCTACTGCCTTTGTCCTTTCCTGATGCATACAGGCTTCCAGTCCTTACGACGAGATAGACATCCTTGTTCACTGCGACGTGCGCATCTTCGAGTGGCTCTTCCAGTACATTCACAGCAGTGACGGTAAGACAGCCGGCAGAAGCAACAGGAGCAGCGACAGCCACGACAACGATGCCGAACACAACGACAATCACGGTGATACGAGTAAGACGACAAGGGATAGTGGCAGCAGAAGTGGCGACAACAGCAGTGAAGGCGGAGTGGCAAGCGGTGGCGGCGGTGGTGCCGACAGCAGCGGGTCGAGGCCTGACATAGCTGGGCCTCCTCCTCTGGAGGTGGGCGATGTTTGTTCTGCTGCGCTGCCGTCTGTTTGTCGTGGAGCTGCACACCTGATATGATGGTACAAGTATATGTTTTTCGAGGACTTGCCCATCTTGTGCAATGCACGGCCGTGTTTGTCTTGGGCCTTGTTTATGCCTCCCTTTGGAATGGCAGCGCCGCTGGTGGGGCGTGCTCCCTCCTTTCTTCTAGCCCGTACACTGTTGGTCCAATTGCTGGAACCAGCCGCAGGCACTTCTCGCGTCTCGTGGGAAGGATTTTCCAGCGGTTGATCGCGCCAGACATCGCGAGTATTGAAACCAGCACGAGGGGTTTAACGGAAACGGTAAGGATTTGCTCTCAAGCGCGTTGGCAATACAGTAGAAGGTTGGTTTGTAGTGACGCATGGCCATGCGGAGATTCGGACGGCGTTGAAGGACTTGGAGGGTTGCCGGCTGACCCCTCCCGCCCTCCCTGTTAGTGCAACTCTTGGATTGTCGGAAAACCCGTTTGGAAATCCTGGTGAGGCATCTCCTTGTTCATATCTAGGTCGCGGCAAGGCACACCGGACCTGAATAGACTTCGTCCCCGCTGCCAATGAATGTGCTGGTTGCCTGTCTCCCGAACGTCACATACACGAAAATGGTGTCAAACGCAAATGTTTTTTTCCCGTAAGAGCACCACTTCCGGGAGACTAAGCGGTATCCATGGTGAATGCTATCCCGTCCCTGGGTGCATCGCAACCTACGGGGCCGCTCGTGGAGACTTCCTTCCGGAAACCAAATAATGAAATGTTTTTGTTGCGCCCGGTTGGTTGTCTTGCACCTGCTGCAGGTGCCACTAGCGGTGTCGATCCTCATATCGTCGGATTTCCTGCAGATGCAGAGGCTTGTTGCCGAGTGCCTGGGGTTCGTCGGGGAGCACCTTACGGAGATTGTGAAGCTGCCGATCGACTTGTCTTGTCTCAGCGACAAGATGGTGCTGCAGCTCGCAAAGGTACACATTTATCTACGATTCTCGGTGCGGGCTGTGCTGCCATGCGTGGACAGATCTTCGCATGTTTCACATGATGCAATTTGCACGCTACCAAGCGTGTTCGGTGTTCTCGTATTGATACGGTTCTCTCTACATTGAACCGATTTCTGATCGTATCAAACTCGCACGGCACACATCTTCATGCCGCCCGCTGCGTGTGATTTTTGGGAACCTGGGAAGGTTGTCATGATTCTGGTGCTGTTTTATTTGAATTGGCTTGATATCACGCTTGATCCTGTCTCATTTGCTCGCTCAGGTACTGTTGGCAAACGCTACAGGCGGACTAATGCCGTACCATAGATCATACCATACCGTGCAATGTCGTACGATACATACCATATCGTACCATACCGTACCATTCCGTACGTACCGCACCGCGGCTTCATCGCACCGCATCGCGGGGTACCATGCCGTAAAAGAGCCCTTTGCTTGGGGCGTGTCCTCGCTGTGTTTGTTTGTGAGATAAGATTATGACCCTGGATCAGCTGGCCGTGGCCAAGGACCGGAAGGACAAGCTGCTCAGTCGGGTGCACAAGAAGCGCATCGAGATCGACTTCTGCGACCGTTCCCCTCACAGCGACAGTGCCGTCCACTGTTGCCGTCACTGCGGCGGGCTCTTCTCGGAGAAGGCATGATCGCATGCAACGTAGTACCAGCCGTGCAACCATAGACGTCCGCCGCACCCGTAATGTACAACGGTTGTCGAAGAGTTTGCTCGAAGATGTTTCCGTTTGACTGTTCGTTTTCTGCCTGAACAACTCCTTTGGAGTCGTGTTCGGACCGTCGTTTGGTGAGATACAAAGAGCTTCGGTTTGTTTCCGCACGCAACTGATACGCGTATCCGCTGGCCACGGGAACGTAAACGTTTATGGTGTTGCCGCTGCCGACACTGCGTCCGCTACAACGGTCGACTCAACACGTGGTCACAATTCCAAGGCAAGTTATTGGCTATTTTATGCATATATCCCTGAAGGGTGACGCCATCGCATTGGATGACGTCCCCGGTCGACCAGGTATCTTCCACCTGCCAGAAGTTTTAACTCCTTGACCGATGTATCTCTCAGAGATACCTTGTTTCTTTCCAGTCGGTCCTTTGAGCATCTTCTACTACCACAGGATTGTAATTTCCGTATCCTACCCTGCCCTCGTACCCGCTCTTTCGCTACAAAACTGAACAGTCCAGCTGCAGTGCACACCATCATCACACAATTTGCTATCACTCGTCCGACTCCCCCCTGATATGCGCCGACGTTTACCCAACGGAAACCCGAAACGGCAATGTAACCGAAAGCTCCAATCGTACAATACAACACGCCAGGTACGCGACATGATGAGCTGCCGCGCGGCTCCTCCCACGGTGAGCTTTCGAGGCCAGCTGCTGCGGCGGCACGAGCCGCTGTCGCCCTGGAGCCTCACCCGAACGGTCACGTCTCTTCACCGAAAGGGCATGAGTTGGACCGCAGTCTATTGGTTCCTTTGGGGCCTTACGCAGCCGCTCTACTGCGTCAGGTGCCGGTGAGTTGACCGGTGTAGGGGCGATGCCGGGGGAGGAGGCAGGGTGATTGCGCGTAGCCTTGGGAAGCGATTGTTGTCATAAACCATGCCCCTCATGTTTGCCTTAGTAGTGTTTGT